GCCCAGCTTCCGCGTCACGGTCCTTAAAGCACCTGCCTGGCCGCAGCGGGCACAAAGGTGCCGCGGGAGCCCTGGACTCGGCCCTATGGACGCGCTGCCGGCAGTGGCCGGCTCTCGGCAGGGTGAGGCTGCGAGAATACGGGCGGCGGGAGCGGGTGGGGACGGGGCGGGGGGAGGCTCCAGCCCCGGGAGGGACTCGGGCCGAATCCGCACCCCAGCACCTCTCCGACTTCACCCAGAATCCTGGGGCCGGAGCCGGGGGCTCGGGGAGCGCGCGAGGCCCTTTCGGGATAGTCAAGAGTCACCAGCGCCGGGCAGCCAACCAGAATAGCCCAGCAACTTTTCCGCCCGATGACCACCCCGGAAACTTGTCCTCCGGGGCTCGGGACTCTCGGCCCCGAGCCCTGCGCCTCCTGGACCTGGGTTCTCTGTGTGGGACTGGCAGATGGATGAAGGCAGTGGCCTCAGAGGGGAAGCCCCGGTGCCCCCGAGCGCACTTCCAACCTTGAGTTTCCTTCTGGGAGCCCCGCCCCTGTCTTTTGAGTCTCCTGGGTTTGCGTGGGGGATAGATTTGGGGGTGGAGTCAGACCATGTTCAAGTTTTTGTGTCACCAGCTATGACCTTGAGTAAGTTCTTACTGCCGGAGCCTCAGTTTCCCCCCCCTCCATATAGTAAGAATGATAGCCTCTTGCTTGGAGTTCTTGAAAGGACAGTCTGAGCTGACACGTGAGGATAGCTTTGGATAGTGTCACCGCGGTTCAGTGTTGCCTCATCCTGTTGGGTGGGGCGTGGGGGCGAGAGACTGAAAGAGAGCCGCATTGGACATTCCCTGTCCTTAACCCTGTCCTATGGTCAATAGGAGCTGTGATGGGTGCCTCCCATGAGTCTGAGATATGAGTGACCCCTGTGGAAAGAGGCCGGTCCTGGAAGCCAGCCCCACCATGAGTCTGTGGGGTCCTGAGGGTAACCCTCCGTCAGCCCAGGAGCCTGTGGCTGAGGAGGCCTCTGCTTCAGAGCTGCAGATGAAGGTGGACTTCTTCAGGAAACTGGGCTACTCATCTTCGGAGATCCACAGCGTCCTGCAGAAGCTGGGGGTCCAAGCCGACACCAACACAGTGCTGGGGGAGCTAGTGAAGCATGGCTCAGCCTCGGAGCGGGAGCACCAAGCCTCACCAGACTCCTGCCCTCAGCTCCCTCTGGTGCCCCGGGGCGGTGGCACCCCCAAACCTCCCACCCTGGAACCCTCACTTCCAGAGGAGGACAAGGAGGGCAGTGACCTAAGGCCTGTGGTCATCGATGGAAGCAATGTGGCCATGAGGTGGGTGCTACTGTAGAGAGGTCATGTGGAGTAGGTCTGTGTCTGCTGCTGTGTATCCAACCTTCAGGAGGGAAGCTTTGCTCTCTGTGGACTGGTGAGAAGATGGAAAAGTCCTCTTTGAGGTCCCACTGTGTGCCAGGAGGCTCCCCTAAACCTTATGACTTCCTTAAGTGAGTGTTTTAGGGATGTCATAGGGGGGAAAACAGGAGTTCAGACCCTTGACAAGGGTCACACTCCTGGTTAAATGGGGAGCAAGAATTCAAATCCAGCCTTGTATGCGCATGGTTTCAATTCCCCTGTGACATGGGGCTGGACAGTGCAGGAGACTAGCCTGTGGGCTCTAGTTCTCCCTGGGAACCAGTCACTTAACCCTCTGAGTCATTTCTTTACTCTCCCCACAGGCTATCTCAGGGCTCAGTCTTCCATCTCAGGTGGCCCTTGTGGATAGAGACCACACAGGACCTGGAGATTTTCAAGTGCTCAGTGAACAGCTGTCATTGTGACTGTTGTAGTTGTTATTAAATGGCTAAGTCCTATGGGACCTTCTTGTCCCAGACCTGGGCTCACAGAGAAAGCAGGCTTAGGTACAGAGAGCTAGCCAGTCTTAACCAGGTGTGGCCTGTTGGCTGGACCTGGCTCTCTGTAGGAGTATGGACAGGTGGCCTGATACTCTGGGCTCATTTGAGCCCTGATGGGATCTGTGCTGACTGAGCTGATGATGCTTGGACTGGACTAGTCTCTGGCAGGTTTCCAGGGCCTGTCTCCTATGCTTGTCTCACAGGGAATGGAGTGGAGGGCAGAGGGTGAAGCCATGCTGCTTCTGACCTTAAGGAGCCCTGCCTTCTCCCTTCCATCCAGACCCCACCCTCCAGCCCTGCTTTCTCCCAGTTCCCTGCACAGCGGGCTGGTGAGTCAGGACTGGGTAGATTGCTCACAAGGAAAAGTTCCTGTTGGCAGGGACAAGGGGAGACCCCATCCATGAGAGTGGGGAGGAGGGAAAAGCTTCCTGACTGCCCTCAAGGCCCTCCAGGTAGACTGCCCTAGCTGTCACAACATCAGCCTCTTCCACACCTGGCATTTGATCCCACCTACTAGGTCCAGCTAGAGCAAGCTGTTCCGCCTGATCCTACTCAGCTAGTCCATGGGGAAGCCCTCTTTTCCCACCTTTTGGGTCTATCTTTGCATCTCTGAAATAGGCCGATCCTGGGCATCAGGTTGAACTGGCTCCTTGAGAGTTTGGAGTCCCCACAGAGGGCCTAGCCTAAGTCAGGCTAGGAGTTAATAGGGGTCTGACTTCTGGAGGGGACTGGGCTGGTTGTGATGAGTCCGGAAGGTAGCCATGTGCTGTGTGTTTGTATCCTGACAGAAGGAGGGGCCTGGGCAGGAGGAGGGGCAGTGGTAGAGGGGTTCAGAAGAGATGATACCACTGCCTGCAGGCCTGCCTGCCTGCCTGCCCACCCTCCTGCCTGCCTGCCCTCCCTCCTGCCTGCTGGGGGTTTCTGAGCTGGGGCAGCCACTGAAGGGGAATTCCAGCCTCATACTTCCTGTCTCAGCTGCTGAAAGGTTCCTGCCTGGCTGCCCCCTCCTGCAAGGGCAGGCCCCCACCATATGCAAATCGTGGGGAAATTCACCTCTGTTTCCTTCTAAGGGAATTTTTCTCCATTAGTTGGGCCCAGCCCAGGCAGATCTTTTCACCTGGGGAGCCTGGCCCAGCCCTTCCCTGCCTTGGGAGTTAGTGAACTAGAGTCTTCCATATACACCATCAGACTGGGCCGCCAGGCTGGGGACCCTGAACCGTCCACCAGCTGGACTCTTGTGGATGGGAGGAAGTTGGTTTTCCTGGGACAGCGGAGCTTCCTGCATTGCAGTGCTAAGTGAGCTGTCCAGAGGTGCCCGGGGACTTGTCTGTTTTCCCTGCTGAGAGAACACTGTGGGTGCCAGCACTGCTGAGAGCACACTTGTCCCCAGCCAGGGTTTTCAGTTCCCAGAGTAGTTCACACCCTAGGATCCCTGGCATCTCTTGAGATCCTCAGGCTTGATGTTGCTGGTCCAGGAGGGACCTGTGCATGACAGAGAGGCAGGGAATATGTAAACACTGCACACCTGGGTCAGGGAGCCATGCAGCAGATGACCACTCCACCAACTGGAGGAGACCACAAAGGGCCTAGGTAGGGAAGAAGACTGTGACAGGGCAGCACTAAGCATTATGAAGCCACAGCCAGGGACTTGTCCTGGCAGGTCAGGGAAGGCTTCTCAGAGGCATTGATGTGTCACCCCAGTTCCAGAAGGAAGAGCAGGGGTTTTCCAGGTCCATCATTTCTCTGGTTCCCAGGCTGCTCCTCCCTTTCAACACCCAAAACACAGGTTGTTCAATTTTTTATTATTATTTTTTTTATCTATATGAGTGTCTGAATGTATGTAAGTGCACTCATATTGTGCAGCGCCTATGGAGATCAGAAGATGGTGTCTGAACCCCTGAAACTGGGTCGCGACAGTTGTTAGCCACCATGTGGGTGCTGGGAATCTAACCCAGGCCCTCTACACAAGCAGTCAGTACTCTTAACTGCTGAGCCTTCTCTCCAGCCCCAGGTTGTTGAATCTTGAGTTAAGAAAGCTTTCCTCTCAAACTGGAACAAAAAAAAAAAAAAAAGTTTTCTGTGAGGGATGTGAAGGACAGGAAAGCACCCCAGTGGCCCCACACCTGGGTTCAGTTTCCACTTCTTATCACTGGCCAAGTGACCTTGGACAAGTCATAGAATCTTTCTTCCCGTGGATAAAATGATGGTCCAGATGCAGTCAGTACCCCTGTCCTTCCTGTCCTTCCCCACTATCAGGGTTGTTGATACCTGAATATCAACAGAGTGGTTCTGAGCACTGGCTGCTGTGTGACCCTGATGACTAAGTTACCTTCTCTGGACCATCTGAACAAAGAAGGGGATGGGAAAGGCAGTACTCTTCTTATGAGCTTGCTGATGATTCAGTGTGAAGTACAGCATGGAACAACCAGGTTCACAGCTTACAGTAAATGTTAACTATTATTATGAGCAGGCTTGGTGGGTGTGCTTGATGCCCTGGGTCTATTGTCTACAATTCAGAGACCACTAGACCCTGAAGCCTCACCCCCAGATAGCCTCCATGCTCCCAGACACCCCACTTCCTACCCTACCTTTTCTTGGGGTTCCAGCTATCACCACCCCCCAAAGCCACCCACAGGATGTGGTCTGCTACGGACTTGCCTCTTTTGCGTAACATTTATTCTGTTTTATTGGCCAAATATAAGAGTCTGGCCAGGAGTGGTGGCACACACCTTTAATCCCAGCACTCGGGAGGCAGAGGCAGGCAGATCTCTGTGAGTTGAAGGCCAGCCTGCTCTACATAGCTAGTTCCAGGCCAGCTGGGGCTACAGAGAGACCTTGTCTCAAAAAGATTAAAAAAAAAAAAAAGTGAGTTGCTCACTGTAGAGCCAGTGAAAGGCAGGGCTTTGCTAGGGAGAGAACTATAAGCCCCAGTCCCTTCAGTGCTCCCAGGAAATCCACCTTGCCAGTCCCTGGCCTCTTGTCCCCATGAGCAGTCTAAGAAAGCTGCTGCCCACTGGGCCCTTGCTCAGAGAGACAGAGCCAGGGCAACCCAGGACCCCTCCAGGCTGCTTCCTGGAAAAGCAGCCTTTGTATAGAGCAAGGCTGATGCCCTAACCCTACATGTGAGAAAGCAGAGTCCCCCCAACAGCTTCTTGACCAGTTTTCTGCCTGGGGGCATGGCCTGGTTGGGGGGGGGAGCAGGCTTACAAGGAACTGGCTTCTTGGAAGGAAAAGAGATGGCCTTTTACTTTCACCCTGAAAGGCAGGGCAGACTCCTGGGGCTCCTCCTTCCCTGTAACCTCTGAGGACCCAGCCTTCTGCCCAGACTAAACTTTAATCCGGAACAGTCTGGTTTCTCCCGCTTAGCCTGACTGGTGCTTCCCCCACCCCCTTGGCTGCTGACAGCTGCAGGAGGGGAGGTGACTCAGCCTACATGTGCACATCTGTGTCCCGTGGTCCTGGTAGCTCCCTGGTTGGGCAGGATCCCCAAGTCTCCCATCACCTTTCCCCACCCCCAGGTATGTTGCAAGTGGCTGGACCCTCCCCCAGGGTGGGGAGCCAGTGTGGCCAGATTCCTGGGTAGATCCACATTTTCAGGAGACAGAATCTCAGGGAAAGTCCCAGCTAGGGCTGGCCACCAGGCACTGTGGGAACCAGCCCAGGGACAAGGCCTTAGGCTCCACAGACAGAGGGCCCAGGGATGAGCCCTGCAGCTACCCAGCAAGGCCTTGCAGTGCTGGAGCCCAGACATCTCCCAATCTTGCTACAGGCCTGTGAGCTAACCTGTCCCTACTTTCCCTCCCAGCCATGGCAACAAGGAGGTCTTCTCCTGCCGGGGCATCCTGCTAGCTGTGAACTGGTTTCTGGAGCGGGGCCACACAGACATCACTGTGTTTGTACCATCCTGGAGGAAAGAACAGCCTCGGCCTGATGTGCCCATCACAGGTATGTGTGCCTTCTGGAAGTGGGATGGCCTCACTGTTCCAGGGATCCTGGTGTTCCCCAAAAGAGTCCTCAAACAGGGCTGGGGCAAGTGTGTCTTCCTAATTTCTGTTGTCCTCAGAAGCGCAGCTCTGAAAAGGAGTTGCTAGAAATTGCCTTGTGCAGCCTCAGGGTGCCTCCCTCACCCTACTGGTGGGGCATCACTCCTTCAACATCCCCAACAACAGAGGGGCAGAGTAGTTTAGGGGTTGAGGCTGTGGGAACGAGGCTAAGACAGATAAGGTTAGGGGCCTTGGCCCTGTGACCCGGGGTGAGGATCTGGAATAGCCCTGCTCTTGAGCTACCTGCTCTTCATCTGTGTAGTAGGGCAAGGTGAAGGTGTGCTGACAGCTTCTTCCCGAGGCTGTTGAAGGAGCAAGTGAGTTGGTACAGAAGTGCTTAGAACACCCCGCACCTGAATGCTCACATGTCCTAGCTGCTGTGGTGACCTTCACAAGACCCCCCACCTTGGGGAGGGGTGAGTGTCAAGGGTCAACTTCTCTAGAAGTCTTCAGATCTGGGCCAGGCTGGCTGGGGCTGGAGGCTCCAGGGAGAACTAGGAGCCTTATCCTGCATATGCAGGGAACAGGGCTAAGACACTTCTTCCTGGACCCCTATGGAACAGGCTGGATGCACAGGCAAAGCCAAAGCCAGGGGGGAGCTGAAGAGCCACTCTGGCCTCAGAGCACTTGCTGAATGTGATGGTCCTCAGTCATGGGCTTCTATAGCTGGTTCTCTCCTCTTAAATTTGGTATGAACAGTCCCTGAGCCTGGCCATCCAGAGTCAAAGAGCCATATGGGCCTGGCTCAGGGTCCCCAGTGGGCCCTGACCTGTATCTCATCATCTCCCCTCCCAGATCAGCACATCCTGCGGGAACTAGAGAAGAAGAAGATCCTGGTGTTCACACCATCTCGGCGTGTTGGTGGCAAGCGGGTGGTATGCTATGATGACCGCTTCATTGTGAAGCTGGCCTTTGAATCCGACGGGATTGTGGTCTCCAACGACACCTACCGGGACCTCCAGGGTGAGCGGCAGGAGTGGAAGCGCTTCATCGAGGAGCGGCTGCTCATGTACTCCTTCGTCAATGACAAGTATGCTCCCACTGGAAGGCTGGGGTCCTGTTGGGAGAGATACTAAAGGTGGGCTTTCCTGGGCCTGGACCCACAGTCTGAGTTCCAGGTAGCTTTGAGGGTGAGGTAGGTAGCAGAGAGAGGGCTGGAGCCGATGGGCAGAGGCTTTTTGATTGGGGGCAGAGGGTAGCATTTGAGACAGGTCTAATAAATTCCAAGATAGTGCAAGACAGCATGCAGCCCAAGATGCAGTTAGCTTGAAGCCTCCCAACAAGAGCTCCCAGGAGGCCACCCTGAAGGTGACCCTAGTCTATATCCTCTGGAGTGAGGGATCCCCTCCTTTCTTGGGGTGACCCCACTGAGAGTTCAGCAGACCTCTCGGGTATCCCACAGACAGGCACAGTTTGGGACCTGATCTGCTCTTTCCAGTGAGGCTGGCTGTCTAGCCCCCTCCTTAGTCCCTCTTGTGAGAGTTCCTTTTGTCTGATTTAGGTTCATGCCCCCCGATGACCCGCTGGGCCGACATGGGCCCAGCCTGGACAACTTCTTGCGTAAGAAGCCACTGCCTTCTGAACACAGGAAGCAGCCATGCCCCTATGGTGAGACCCAGCTCTGTCCTCAGAGCCCTCCTCACCCTGCTTTTCCCCTGCCTGCCCCTCCACTTAAGCCTGTCTGAGTTCCTGTGGCTTCCTTGAGGGGACCATTCTACTGAACCACCCAATCCCATGTTCCCATGCCTCCCCTTTCCTCTGGTCCTACTTCAAGGCCCGTTCTGTTCCTCTTGCAGGGAGGAAGTGCACCTATGGAATCAAGTGCCGATTCTTCCACCCTGAGCGGCCAACCCGTCCTCAGCGCTCTGTGGCTGATGAGCTCCGTGCCAATGCCCTCCTTTCACCACCCAGGACTCCAGGCAAAGACAAAAGTGGCCAGCGGTCTTCCCTTGCTTCTCAGCCTGGCTCTGTGCCCCCAGAGGCAGAGCAGAGCAGCTTGGATGGGAAGAAAATGGGAGCCCGGGCGTCCCCAGGGCCCCGTCAAGAAGGCCCAACACAGACCTTTGCCCCAGCTGGCAGGAGCCTCCCTGTTAGTGGGGGCAGTGGGAGCAGTGGGGGAAGCTTTGGGCCCACTGAGTGGCTCCCACATACCATGGACTCACTCCCATACACCTCCCAAGACTGCCTGGATTCAGGCATTGGCTCCCTGGAGAGCCAGATGTCAGAATTGTGGGGGCTTCGAGGAGGCAGCCCTGGGGAGTCAGGCCCCACTCAGGGCCCTTACGCTGGCTACCGTGCTTATGGATCTGAGCTCCCAGCTGCACCTGCCTTTTCTGCCTTTGGACGGGCCATGGGCGCTGGCCACTTCAGTGTCCCTGCTGACTATGTGCCCCCGCCACCTGCCTTTCCAGCCCGAGAGTACTGGTCTGAGCCATACCCATTGCCCCCATCCACCCCAGTCCTTCAGGAACCACAGAGGTCCAGTCCAAGGGCTAGCCCCTGGGGCAGGGTGGGTGACCTAGTCAAAGAAAGGGCTGGCGTGTACACCAAATTGTGTGGTGTCTTCCCCCCACACCTGGTAGAGGCTGTGATGTCGCGCTTCCCGCAGCTCCTTGATCCCCAGCAGCTGGCTGCAGAAATCCTATCCTACAAGTCCCAGCACCCCAACGAGTAAGCCAGCAGGTGACCCAGGGGGCTGTCAGGCTGTGCTCTGGGATGTTCCCAGCCCCAGTCCACCCTGGAAGCTGGACAGAGAGAGGAGTGGAGCAGGCAAGGGAATCCTCAAACCAAAGATACCATAGGATTGATTCTGGCCCTGCGGTACCTTTCGTCGTCCTGCATGGGTCAGAAGCGATCACCCTGTTGATACACATTGTATCTCTGTCATTTAAGGAGACGCTGCCGGTCAGGCCGTCGGTCCGTGGCTGATGCCCAAACCCTCTTTTCTCTCAGAGGGCAGAGGGGGAGACCTGGGGAACAGAGGCCTGAGCTGGACCCCACCTCCACCCTGTCCCTGGGATGCCGGCACCACCGGCTAGTTGGGCACCATGTGCCTGCCCTCCGAGGCCCCCCTCATGCCAATGTGGCCTCATCCCTGCTCACAGGGATGTGTAGTAAGCAAGATGCTTCTTATAACCCACCTCCACTCATTCTGTCCACCTACCCCCTCGCCCCACCAGGGCTATAGGGCCCTCTATCCTCACCATCTCTTCCTCATCCTTCCCCACAGGTGGAGGGACACGTAAGCCATGTACAGATATGGATTTTAAATATTGTAAGTGGAAAGACAAGAATAAAGGACATTGCGAGGACTTGTAAGAATGAGGTAGTTGTCTTTGGTGGGCTTGAGGGGTGGAGCTGGTCTTGGTGATGGAAGACTAGCAGACAACCAGCTTTTTACTTCAGAGGAGCCATTCTGTACCACTCCCTGGCCTTCTCAGGAACAAGTTTCCAAAAGTGATTGTTCCCTTGGAGCTGAGCCTAGATAGGAGGCGAGGTGGCCCTGGACACATATCAGGTGGCAGGTGCAGGAAGCAGAAGTGTAAAAGCCTGGAGTCCTGTGACTTAGGCTAGAGAGAGTGACATGGGGTGGTGACAGAATGGAGCTCTTCCCCTTTTTTCTGTGCTGATGAGAATTGAGGGTAGGAAATGGGGAAATGAGCTGGCAGAAATAATGTGTTCTTGGAGTATCTGAGTGGGTGTTGGGGAGTCCTTGTATGCTGTGCTCTGGGCCTTCCTCCCAGGTACTGCTGTGTCCTTGATCCAGGGCTGCACAGTAGAATGGGGAGGGCTAGAGGGGCAGCAGCTTGGAGAGGCAATGCCAGGGATTCCAGCCACTGACTTTGCCATCTGGGACAAGGGACTGTCCCTTGGTGGGCCTCAATTTCCTCATCTATGAAATGGGAATGGCAGCTACCTTACAGGATTGTCATGAGGACTCAGTGAGATGATACGTGCTGAGTGTGTGACTTGTCTCCTGCCACACAGGAAGGAATTGCACATTAGGAGGCTTCCTTAAGTGTTACTCCTGTGGGCAGGTTCACAGGAGTGACCCCATCTGCCATGTCAAACTGCCCAGGCAGGAGGATCTCTTGATCTTAACTTTAACTCTCTCTCTCTCTCTCTCTCTCTCTCTCTCTCTCTCTCTCTCTCTGCCCCCGCCTCGCCGCTCACCCGCCCCACACGCTAGTATCTCTCTCTCTCCTCTTTATCTCTCTCTCTCTCTCTCTCTCTCTCTCTCTCTCTCTCTCTCTCTCTCTCTCTCTCCCTCTCCCTCTCCCTCTCCCTCTCCCTCTCCCCCTCAAAAATGAGCATGAATGTTAAATATTTTAAATGAAAAGCTAGACTTTTACACAATCCCCAAATACTATCAGCCAGGGAAAAATGGGAAAAGTACAGCTTTAATAATCCTACCTTTGAACATCTCATCTGATTTGTACTTAATGGTCGGTACAGCTTACAGTATATTTTCTTTTTAGAAACTACGTCTGTACAGAACAGCTGTGCAGCTGTGGAAGGAAATGTCACCCTAATGACCTTGCCCGCCAGCTCCGCCCTGCTCTTTTCCCCTGAACACCTTTTTGGAAGCTTGAGGCAGGGATCAGGATGCACCATGGAAATAACTTAGGCAAGCATGAGCTTGAGGGCTCTCTCCCACAAAGCATTCTTCAAGGTGTCCTGAGCTCGTTGCTTCCCGCCTCCTCAGGAGCTTTGATCTGCATAAGGAAACAGTGATGCCTTACGTATATTTCACAACCAAGGACTATATTCTATGGGACTGGGCATGTAGCCGGTAGAGCATGCACTGAGTTCAATACCCAGCACTGGGCATTGTGGCACACAGCCCTTGAGAGGTGGAGGCAGAAAAAGTTCAAGGTCATCTGGCTACATATCAAGCTCAAAGCTGACTTGGACTGCATGAGACCCTATCTCAAAACAAAACACACACCAAAAATACTCCACTCTTGCCAGGTTAAAAGGCTATTTACGTGCTCGCTTCGGCAGTACATACGCTAAAATTGGATACAGGGAAGATTAGAATGGCCCCTGTGCAAGGGTGACACACAAATTCATGAAGCGGTCCATATTCAAAAAAAAAAAGGGGTATTTACAGGCTTCTGTTTGTCTTTATGGGACAAGAAGCTAAAATACCAGACCATCCAGTTCAACACCGGCTGCTTAGCAATGCTGAGTGCTTTGCCCAAGGTCCCGGAGGAGGAGGGCAAGCCAAGAGACAGGGCTTTCAGTGAGTCCCTGACCCCCAAACCTGAAGAAAGGAGGGTCCTCACACTAGTCTACAGTGGCTCAGGCCCCTGCAGGGACAGGAGGTGGTGGGGTTATAACCACAATAACCAGTCACCTGCCTGCTCTGGAGTGGGGCCCTGTGTCTGCACAACACAGTGGAGCTTGGGGACCACAAGGCTCAGGGGGCCCTCTCTCCTGCTCTCTTGACCAGAGCTTAAGTCATTTTCTGGTTGCCCTTTTGTGGGTGTGTGGAAAATGTGGTGATCCCACAGGCAGGTGGGAAGCGGCATTGGTGCCAGCTGGCTATGGCTGTCAGGAGACAGGGCCTGGCCCTCCTTATTCATTGACAGGCACCACCAAGGACTACAGATCAACGTGGCTGGTGCCAGCTAGGGCTGGGTCCTGCGGAAGGGAGGGTTAGCTCAGGCCTTCTGATGCCTGCCCTGGCATCCCATAGTTTCCTGTCAGCTCAGCTCGGCTGGGCTAGCCAGTTGGGTACGGAACCTGACCTCCAGGCCTCTTTCTCAATCTAGCTTCTGGGCAGAGCTACTCAGGCAGCCAGGCCCCAACGCCAAGGCTGTTTCTTATCTGTGACTCGGGCTTTAACTCCGAAGTTCTCACCACCCTCTGTCCCCTGGCCCACTAAAGCTTAGACAGGTGACACTGACTCATGGGACCTCAGCCTCCTGCCTCTAAAAGGGACACAAGGACACAGGTAGACAGTGGAAGCCCCACTTTGAGTCCTATTTACTAACCGGGCAGCCCTGGGCAACTTATCCCCTCCTCCCTCTCAGGGCCTCAGCTGCCTGGTCTGCAGTTATCCTATGAGCTTAAAGGGAGAGGGGTGGACAGAATGTGACTACTGAGACCAAAGCTCAAGCCACCAGGATTGCTGCAAGGGATCAAATTCCAAGTAGCTGCCCCAGTTGCTTCTTCCTCCTGCTTTTCCTGGTTCCTGGAGCCAAGAGGCTGATGGGGAAACTGGTATGTATGCAAATTCCCAGTGTTGGGAAATGATGCTGGGGAGCCGGGACTTCCCACCCAGCCCCTCCTACTGGCACCAGGAGGGATTGAACCCTGGGTGTTTCTGCAAGTTCTGCCCAGCAAGTGTTAACCCTGTGGGGACCCAGCCTGCTCAGAAGACAGGGTGACTGCCACCTGCCTGCAGCCTGAGCCAGGAAACCTCAGCTCTCCTTACCAGACCGAGCCAACCACACTAGGATGAAACACCCCTGCTCTGTATGTCACTGCCCATTCCTCCAGGATGTGGGAAGACCCAGCAGTCCTCATAGATCTGGGCACCTAATCTAAGAGCAGGAGAGGTACTGGGCAAGGCCTGCCCCAAGCTGCTAATGCCCCAAACTGCTAGTGTCCTTCAGGGCGTGAGTGTATGCAGAGGCTGGGACTAGGCCAGCACCCATCTCTACTTCCCACTTCCTCCTCTGCCCTCCCTCCCCCAGGAAAAGCTTGCACAAGAGTCAGCAGTTGGGGAGAGGTCCACTGGCTGAGCCCTGACATAAGACCCTGGCACCTTTTGCCCCAGGCTTCTCCAACCCTTCTGGTTCATCTGTGGTTGGCCCATGGCGGACTGAAACAGAGGCAGTATGTGCCTGTTCTGAGGGACCTCCTAGTTCACAGGAAGGGTGTGGGAGATTTGGCTGAAAGAGGCAGGAAGTAGGGCCCTGCAATTAAAGAAACCCAAGCCATCCCAGGCCATGGCATGTAAATCCTCCCAGCCAGTTCCTGGAGGGGGAGGAGGCCCAGGCTGTCACCTGGGGTGTGGCCTCTTGAAGCTGTTCTCAAGGCAGTTGAGGGTGATCTTAAACTGCTCACCAATTTAAGAAAATGGCAAGACTACATGGGAGGCTCAGCTCAGGCACTCCAACCCACATCACACCTGGCAAGCTGTTGAGAGGTCAGGCCACTGGGAACTGAGCTCCAAACTCTGGCTGGTCTCCAGAGAAATTCACTGAAGGCAGGTGGCATCCTAGCACCGCCTGCTGGCATCTCCTGGTACTGCCGCCTAGGGTTTAGGGCCCGCCTAAGGGCTGCATGAACAGTCCTGTGAAATGGGAGAATAACAAAGTAAAACACCAAAGACAGGGAGTTCTTTTTGTCTTTGTTTTGGGACAGATCTTGCTACACAGTGCAGGCCAGCCTCAAACTCAAAATCCTCCTGCCTCAGCTTCTAAAGTATTCAGATCACAGGTGCGTGCCGCCATACTAGGCTTCTTGTTCAACGGCATTTGCAGCTTCAGAAAGTTCAAACTGTTCTGGGCAATGAATCATCCAAGAAAAATTTTTGGGAAAGAGGTGTAGCTCAGTGGTAGGGTATGTGCCCACCGTGTGCCAAGCAATAAACACACACATCGGAGCTGGAAGAGTAATTAGGAAAGGGGAAAATACAATTATATATACTTAATAAAACCACACCAAGCATTCTTTTAGCTGTCATTTTGGCAGGGTGTGGGGAGAAATAGGCAATACCCTATGGCTAGTGTCAACACTGGAGGGGTCCAGGTTACCTAAGCACATACCCTTGTAACTCAACAATCCTATTACTGCAAATTTATCCCATGAGCCCACATCTGCAAAAGAATGGACGAGCCTTCACTATCTGACTACAACAGCGACAATAAACCATCAATAAAAACTTGGTGCACACATGCAATGGAATAGTCAGTAAAAATGAGGCAACTACACATTTGGAGTATTTAGGCAGGGGGTGCTTTTTGAGACAGGATGTATGTAACCCAGGCTGGCCCCCTTGACTATCCTCCTGCCTCAGCCTCTTATCTGCAGGCTGGGACTCGAGGTACGACTGACACCTAGCTCTTTTTCTCCCTTTACATTATGTATAAATACATGCACAAACACCCACACATGTGTATGTTACAGCTTGTGCAAGTGGAGGTCAGAGTCAGAGGACAACTTGAGTCAGTTCTCTTCTACCATGTGAGTCCTAGTGATCAAACTAGGGTCATCAGGCTCAGTGGTCTTTACTTGCTGAGCCATCTTGCTGGTCCCCCAAGCACAACTCTCTGTGATATTTTCTAAGCTACACCGCTAGACGAAAAAAGCAGAGGGCAGACTTTTCCATCTTTGCAAACAGACTCTGGAATGTGTGCACTCCCCAAAGCCGTAAAAAGCTCCTGCAGAACACATAGCACTCAGCAGTCTCTGGGGAGGACTGGTAGCTGAGGACCCAGACTTGCCACTGAACACTCTAAGGTCATGTGAATGGGTGTGACTTGCACATTGCAATGGCCAGAGTATGTGAATGTTCTTCCAAACTCCTGTTGTAATTCTAATCCCCATGGTGACAGTATCAAGAGGGAAGATCTACAAGTGATGAGCTCCCAAGGGCAGAGCTGTCTGAAGTGGGATTATAAAGTGCCTTATAAAAGCCTGAGGGAGCCTGCTCCCCTTCCTGCCACTCAAGGAAGCAGCAAAGACCCTCTGGGAACCAAGAACCAGGCCTCCACCATGCACCAGGCCTTTACCATGGATGCATTTGCTGCGACCTTAACTTAGGTTTCCTCTAGAACTGTTAGAAACAGTTATTCATACGACATTGAGCTTAAGCTATTTTTGATATAGCAGCCTCAACAGACTGAGACCTGTATTCAAATTCTATATTCCAACACCCCCCTTCCCTCCTGGGATATAGAAATAAGTTATCAAGTGGTGGAGATGTAGACCTGTAGACCTGAGAGGACTGGCTATGGGTCTTGGAAGTTTATTCTTTTTTTTTGGGGGGGGGGGGGTTCTATTTGAGACATTGTCTCCCTATAGCCCCAGCTGTCCTGGAACTCACTATGTAGACCAGTCTGGCCTTGAACTCACAGAGATCTGCCTGCCTCTGCCTCCTGAGTGCTGGGATTCAAGGTGTGTGCTACCACACCCAGCAGAAGTCTCCTCTTAGACATAAATAAAAACTTGAAGTATATATACCTCCAACACATACATGTTAAAACCATGGCAGCTGCTGTTATCACAGATCAAAAAAATTTGAGTATCAGAAATTTCTTATGGTTTAACCTAATATTTATTTATAAATTATCTACACATATGCATGAACTAGTATTTAGGTGTATTACACAACACAATCAAAGTGAAGAACTACACAAAGCAGAGCCCAAAAGTAAAAATACATTAAAGATCCACATCCCAAGCCATCCATACCCACTCCCTCTCCTCTGGACACACAAGGAGGACCAGCACGTCACCAGACCTTCCTGTCAGACCCTGGGGACAACTGACTCCACGGAGCAGTGTTTCAAAACGAGAGTTGTGCTTCAAACCCTGAGGCTGGCCACTGAAGACGCAGACAGGAAGCACACATGGAAGTGGACACAGGGGCAGCGCCAGCCCCTCCTCCCTGCAGCTGCACTTCCCACACATAGCCTTCCCAGGCACAGTGCAAGACTCGTGTTCACTACCCATGCTGAGGGAACTGCACTCAGAGCACGTTCCTCCACTTCCTCCGGCCCCAACACAGAGTCAGGGCTTCCAGTAGGAATTTCTAAGTATGAAAATGCCTCAGTAATTTAGGGTAAGTCTGAGGGACAAGAAAGTCAGAATAAATGCAAAACACCACACAAACTACTTGCAAGTACAGGCTATTTAACACTTTTTTTCCCTCTCTACAGAGTTCTTGCAACACCCAGCACCAAAGGCTCAAGTTTAGAGGTGAAGATGATCTCGCTGCTACCTGCTTCCTACTCTTTCGGAACAAAGGATTTTCTTCAAAGCAAACAGAAATGGTTTAACCTGAGCAAGACATCCATTCCTCTCAGTGCTCCGAGGCCCCGAGACCCAGGGCCTCTCTGCAGCAGCAGGGCAGCTTTGAAGCCCTTGCTCTCGGCACTCGTGGGCTTTGTCTTGATTCTCAACCCTCCTGCAGTCCCTCCTTGAGGTCCGAATGGCTTCCAATCTTCTGCTCCTGGCTGGTCCTGCTTTCCACCTTGTCCATGTACATTCAATAGTGTTTAGAACATCTTGACTTGAAACAAAATGAATTCTTTCCTCAGTTCTTGGAAGAGGACACTTGACAGTCCCATGAAGCTTTGTGCTGGCATTGTCCTCCAGGGAGATGACAAAAATGTTATGACAAAAGGCCTAGGTTTATTTATGTTGTATAACTACCAAGAACTACCAAGAGGAGCAAAGGGCAACCACATTAGAGACAGTAAGCACAGAAAAACTGGTGGACCCAGAGGCATAAACCAGTGTGCCGTCCTCGATGCCTTATTCTGTATTCTTCTGGATAGGAGAAAAGAACAGACAGACCCAGGAATCAGCTGCTCACCCCCCAATAAGGTCTCATGTAACCCAGGCTTGCCTTGAACTCCTCCTACCTCCACTTCCCAAGTGCTAGGATCACAGGCCATGTACCACCACACCTAACTTTAGGGTCAGCTTCTTCAACTTTCTGTTCCCACAACACACTGCACAGTGCTGCTGTAGTGGCAAGCCCAAGGGCACCTTCCCAGGGGTCCTGACAGCCACTTCAGTTTAGAGACTGCTGGTGGGCTGAGATGGAGGACTCTATCCACCAATATTACCAACTGAGACTGATGTCCTTTCATGTAAGACATGTTTGTTCTTTCCACTGATAACTTGCCTCATCCTCATCTTAAAGTTAAAAAACTTAGTTGCTAAGCAAAGTTGGTATCACTGTGTGGTACATGATAGGCAGAAACCCTTGGTGCTTTTTTATTTTGGTCTTTTTGAGACAGGGTCTCCCTGAAGCCCCAGCTCTCCTGGAACACACTATGTAGACCAGGCTGGCCTTGAACTCACAGAGATCCACCTCTGCCTCCTGAGTGCTGGGATTAAAGGCGTGCGCCACCACGCCTGGCAATGCTTTTTTTTTTTTTTTAATTTTTATTTTTGTGTATGAGTGTTTTGCCTGCATTTGAGTGTACTACATATACGCAATACTCACAGAGGCCAGAAGAGGGCATCGGATCCCCTGAACTGGAGTTAGGAGGTCTTCAGAAAGAGCAGCCAGTGCTCTTAACCACTGAGCCATCTTTCCAGCCCTACTCCTTTCCCCAACTTTTTTTTTTTTTTCCCTTGAGGAAAGGTTCTGAGAACTCGACTATCACTGGCCAATTTACAAGAAAACATGGAGACCCTCTAATCAATGACTAAATCTTATGAACAAAAAATATAAAGCAAATTGCCTACCTAGCCACGATTTCTACATACACACAGATAAGTCATATATACAGACATGCTGTTAAATAATATACTTTTAATGACTGGGAGGGATGCTCAGTGGTAGAGCACTTGCCTAACATAAGCAAGGCCCTGGATTCAACTTCCTGCACTGCAATAAATAAATATTTAATTAAATGATACACCTTTTAACAAGCAGTACTACTGGATCTTTATCACATGGCAAACCGTGTGGGTCCAGACATCTTAAAGGACTGCTGCCTTGCTTCCCTCAGAAATGAGGGAAAAGGAGACAAAAAACCAACAAAGGGTCCAGAATGCTTCTAGGGTTTTTGTTTTCAAGGAACAATCTAGATATAAACTGCTTCACCAAGAACCCTGACATAGGAGTTCTGCTGCGAGTCATAGCCAAAGACAGCGAAATCACTGCAGTCCAGGAAAATGAAAGTTTATTTGAGAGGGTGAAGGCTTTTGCACATGGAATGAAGTTTTGATAAGATGCCAGTCACACTCAGCCCAGCAGCATGACCACAATGGGTCCATGTCTCCTATAAAGACCCAGGTCTCAGAAAGGACTGCGACTTTCAAGGACCCAAATCTTACAAAACACTGCCCCCCCACCCCGTGCCTGATCATAGCATGCTGCTCAGTCTCTAGTGCAGTGGCCTCAAGCTGGTCCCTAATAGGTACCCCAGACTCTGTGAGAGAACCCCAACACCGAGAGTCTTGGAGTGGGGTCCCAGTACAGCACTGGGTTGGGTGTCCCAGGCGATTGTAATGTGCAGCCAAGGCCACACTGCACTGCAGAGAGGAGAGGTCATGTGCCACGTCTGAGCCCACTGCAGGGAGGCAGCACCTGTCTTTCCATAATTCTGAGCTTTCCCATTCTATTGATGACTTTTAGAGCAGTATCTGACCAGGAGACTATCAACAAAAAAAGAAAAGACTGAAAACGAAAATGCCCACCCAGCATGATATGAGAAGTAAAACACAGGAAAGAACCTCGGGCTGAGCAGGAAAGCACAAGACGTTGAAGCCTGGCAAATTCTATTTCCCGCAAAAGAATGAAATGTCCATTAAGAGGATGGATTTAAAATGTATATTTTTCAGCTGTTTCATCAAACATGAAACAGCTTCCACCTTTGACAGGCTTCAGACAGGCAGACATTCGATAAACACGCTTTACCTCCCCGCCGCGGAAACCAAAAAGCCAAAGAGCCAAGCTGCCCATTTTACTTCCAGAAAGCCACTTTAGTTAATAGGACAACAGCTGGAGACAGATGACCAGGTGTGTCATTGGGAAGCTATGAACTGTAAGAAGGCATCACAAAATGTCCCAAAAGAAAATCAGATGATAAAAACAACAATAGAAAAACAATACAACACAAAACAAAAAAAGAGAATGGTAGATATTTACAGCCTCCATCTGCAATGGGATTTGGATCCTACTTTCAGCATAAAACAAAACCAGAGATGTGCACGTCTCGATGTGTGTGTGTGTGGGGGGGGGTTTCACAGATGGAGCTGGTGCCAGCCAGTTTGGGGGGAAATATTCATTCTAAGAAGGGAAATATTCATTCTAAGAAGGGAGAAATGTAGCCACCCATAGGGACTAGGACCAAAGATGGGTCTTCCCGAAGTTCCGCTACTTAACAATGACAACAGTGAAGGACCCGCAGAAATGACGTGTCACTATAGTTAGGACAAATTACTCAGTCACAGGCACTGGGTCTGGGAGGGCAGAGGCGGATGGCCACACAGTCAGGTGAGGGACACTGTCTCTGTGAGGTCAGAGGGGAAGCAGGGCTTCACAGCCTGAAGCTTCTGCAAATGCGTCTTCTAATAGTCCTGCGGAGAAAGAAAGAAAAGTTGCAACTTATTCACAGCAAGATGCTGATTTGACCCTGAGTCAAAAAAACAAAAATAACAAAAAAAATTTTGGAGGGGAATATGCTCAAAGAACATCATTACTTGACTGAAAATGGCCGTCTGTAACGTTGTATAATAAAATGTTTTAAAAACCTCACGGACAGCTGTGCTAGGGGATAGCTCTGTAGCTGAAACTTGTGCTTCCTATGAATACATCACATTTCACCTGAGGCCACAAAAAACATCAATGGAAATATCCATTCTGCTCACTACCAAAAAGAGCTAATTTATCATTAAATAAAATATTTTATTTATTTTTATTTTTTTATGTGTATGAGCCTGCATGTATGTGAGAGCAACCGTGTCATGCAATGCAGCAGAAGTCAGAAGAGGGCTTCTGATTCCCCTGGAACTGGAGTTAAGGACAGTTCACAGTCACCATGTGGGTGCTGGGAATCGAGCCCGGGTCCTCTGCAAGAGCAGTCAGTGCTCTTAGCCACTGAGCCATCTCTCTAGTCCCTCATTAATTATTTAAAGAGAAGTTTTGTTTAACAAAACTATGTGACTCATTTTCACTAAAAATTGTGTTTGTTTGGTTACATAGCTTTGGCTGGTCTTCAACTTGCTATATAGGGCAGGCTGGCCTTGAACTCACAGAGATCCACCTGTATTTGCCTCTACCCCTGGAGTGCTGGGACTAATCCAGCTCTAAAAACATTTTTAAGTGAAAGAACAGCTCAGAGTTGAAGTGTCCAGATGGACCTCCCAGACTCTGAGGACCAGAGCTGGGACCCCAGATCAAGAACACTCAGACCCCAGGACAATGATTTCTAATCATCTACAAGCTTGGCGGCCTTTAGGCTGGGATGTACTGTAGCTCCCCCTTGCCTAGCATGGAGCAGGTTTGATCCCCAATACCACCAAAAAAATTTTTTCCCTTAGATACAATTTTTGCCAGTCTTCCTGAGTCACCTGACTGATACTTACAGCTCGGGGCTTTTTGTTTAACTTCAGATCAATCCTGTGGTAGGAAAATAAAAGACATTTGCATTTTAATGTACAGAAAAAGGTATAACAAGCAGCTACTGCATAGGGCACAAGCTATAACAAAGGCTATTTGGTTAAGTAAAATCCATACTCTTCATTAGGCTACACCATGATTTAGTTGTTTACTCAGATAAAAAGTATTAAAAATATGAGCAGATACTTTTGCCATAAGGCAAACTGGGTGACTCAAAAAGATATACAGCAGTTACAAAAGCCACATAATTTTTAAAAACTATTCCAAAGTTAAAGAAATTGGATTAAGAGGGCATGCTCTATGTTAATGTATTAGCTTTGTAACTATATCACTGAAAATGACTGAGACACGTGGTGATTAACAATAGGAAAGAGACTCAGAGCTTGTATTTTCAGATATGAAACACAAAAGAAATTACATGAATTTCAATTTTTAAATCTTTCCAGAGCAAAATATCAAAATCTTAAACTATTAATCTCCTTATGAAGCAAAGCCAGAAAATCAATTTAAATATGAATTAAAAGTACAGGTTATCTATTTAAAAAAGAAATCAAAATGCATAAAAGTGAAGTTTACTTAATTTTGCTTAAGTTATTAAATAAAATGTTACCTCCATCACGTTTTTCTGTTTTTAAAAAAAACTTCCCAGCCTAACCTAATATACATACCTACAATTAAACAGATAAACTATGGGTTAGAAAGGTCTCAAAAAGGCATACCGGTGTCTACACACTAAACAATACAGCACAGATACTAATTCAAATCAAACTTACTCAAAGTCATAATCAAACATGGCAGACGGGCTGAGGGGCAGCATTGGAAAGGAAGAAAGCAATAGAAATTAATACACTAATTGAATAAATTAGTCGATTAGCCATCCTACCAGATTTGCAGACACAAAGTAGCTTTAAGAATCTTAAGCCATAAGGTTTCAAACATCAAAGCACCAAAGACTGTGGTGGGAAGATTCCCTTCTCTCAGCGGATTCCAAAGCAGAAGAGTGGATGACAGAAGGAAAAGTTATTTCATTAGTCACTACAGATACCTGGAGCCTTTGTAACAGCTGCCAGATTCAGTGTTAGAATGTTTAAGATATTTGTAACGAAAAATGGAATTAGGGCATTAGAAGAAACAAAGAAAAAGGTTTAGTTATATAATGAAAGGTGCTTACAACTTCATATAACATACTTTCATTTAAATTAAAGATAACAAAAGCTTTGCACTTTAAAAATAGCAAAACATTTTGCAACTTTTTGTTCATGTTCTAAACGTCCAGAAACACCTGGTTCCTCCTGCAGAATTCCTCCTAGAATTGGGGATCGAATGGCTGCATTTGTGACAGTTTTTCCACCAACGCTGCCTCCTAAATTGGTGATGTTCACTGGTAATTCTTTTTTTTTTTTTTATTTTAAATTTTAAAATTTTAAAAAATGTTTAAAATTTTACATGTATGAGTGTATTGCCTGCATGTGTGTAAGTGCACCGTGCAATGTCTGCAGAGGTCAGAAGAGGGTGTCAGATCCCCTGGAACTGGAGTTATGGATGGTAGTTAGCAGCCAAGTGGGTGCTGGGAACCGAACCCACGTCCTCTGTGAGAGCAGCCAGTGTTCTTAACCACTGATCCATCTCCCCTGCCCCATTAAGTCTCTCTCTCTCTCTCTCTCTCTCTCTCTCTCCCCCCTCCTTTTTTTTTTTTTTTTTGGTCTTCTTTTGAGACAGGGTCTCTCCCTGTAGCTGCAGCTGGCCTGGAACTCCCAGAGATCCGCCTGCCTCTACCTCGAAGTGCTGGGATTAAAGATATGCACCACCACACCTGGTTTGTTGATTCTTTTTTTTTTTTGTCTTTTTGAGACAGGGTCTCCCTGTAGCCCCAGCTGTCCTGGAACTCACTATGTATACCAGGCTGGCCTTGAACTCACAAAGATCCGCCTGCCTCCCAAATGCTGGGATTAAAGGCGTGCACCACCACGCCCGGCTGTTAATTCTTTTTTAATGAGACAGTGCAGACTGACAGAGACCTTGACATACTCCTGCCTCATCCTCCAAATGCTGGGATTACAGACATGTGACATCTTCCCAGTAAGGCAGCTAAGGCACTGTTTATATCAGTGTAGCAACTACGAATACCCAACTCTGCAGAGCCCCCATCAAAACAAAGGCTACTGGAATCCATGAGCACCAAACCCAGAGGATCTGGAGGGAGCACAAGAAGAAGGCCATTCTGCACTGTCAACACTGCATGCTGTGGTCTGGAAAATCAGAGCAAACATTAGCCTCAAGCATACCACTGGCCCCTTGCTGATTCTGACACTGTTCAGACTGTAGACAGGCAGTCAAACAATACTCAATGGCTATTCTCCTACTAGACAATGTTTGAGTGCCAAAACTGAAGAAAGCTTAACTTAATACTACCTATACAACAGCTTCGCTTAGGACATTTCTGAGCCTAAACACTAGTCTAAGTAGGATTTTTTGTTGTTGTTTTCCTTTCAAACTGATTTAATTTTGTTCACATATTAAAACCAACTTTATGAGCTAGCTGAGTGGTAGAGTGTATCTACTTAGCCAGCACGCTTTGGTGGTAGCACGGCAGCACATGTTTGATAACCCCAGCACTTGTGAGTAAAGTAGAATGAATTTGAGGCCAGCCTGGGCTATAATAATGAAACCTTGTCACAAAAACACACAATTTTTAAAAACTTGAAAAAAAAGGGGGAGGATTTAATCCCAGGCAGAAGCCGGTGAATCTCTGTGAATTCAAGGCTAGCCTGGGCTATATATTAAGAACTCTGTCTCAAAAAATAAACAATCTTGGGTTTGATATAATAGTAAAAACCTATAAGAGCAACTTTTATATTTTTTAAAATTTATTATTATTTATTTTTATGTGTATGAGTGTATTGCCTGCATGTATATAAGTGCACCTGAGTTGTGCAATGCCTATGGAGGTCAGAAGAGGGTGTTGGAGTTCCTGGAACTGAAGTTAGGAACAGTTGTTAGCTGCTATGTGGGTGCTGGGACTCAAACCCAGGTCCTCTGCAAGAGTAGCCAGTGTTCTTGACCGCTGAGCCATCTCTCCAAGTCCCTAAATTTTTTCTCTTTAAAGACAGTAGGACTTATTATTTAGATATATAAAATACAAGAATTCAAAAAGCTGATTGTTTGTTTTTTTAATATTTTATTTATCATTTATTTTTATTTTATGTGTATTCGTGTATTGCCCACATGCAGGTAAGTGCACCCATGTCGTGTGGTGCCCAAGGAGGCAGAAGAGGCTGTCAGAGTCCCTGGAACTTGAGCTTTGGATAGCCGTCAGCTGCCATGTGGGTGCTGGGATTCAAACCTGGGTCCTCTGCAAGAACAGCCAGTGTTCCCAACCTCTGAGCCATCTCTCCAGCCCCCATTTTTTATTATTTTTATGTGTATGAGTGTTTTGCTTCCATGTATGCGAGTACACCAGTGTCATGTAAAGTACACAGAGGCTAGAAGAGTGTGGCAGATCCACTGGAACTGGAGTTACAGACAGTTGTTAGCCACCATATTGGTGCTGGGAATAGAATCTGGGTCCTCTGGAAGAACAGAGAGTGCTCCTAATCACTGAGCCATCTCTCCAGTCTCAAGTTGATCATTCTTGAATGACAAAAAATTGTTATATGCATGATGCTCAGGTTCAATCCCCTGTAGGTGTCTGTGTGTGAGATGTGAATTTTTTTTTTTTTTTTGGTCTTTTTGAGACAGGTTCTCCCTGTAGCCCCAGCTGGCCTGGAACTCACTATGTAGACCAGGTTGGCCTCAAACTCACAGCCATTCCCCTGCCTCTGCCTCCCGCTCAGGTTCAATCCCCTGTAGGTGTCTGTGTGTGAGATGTGAATTTTTTTTTTTTTTTTGGTCTTTTTGAGACAGGTTCTCCCTGTAGCCCCAGCTGGCCTGGAACTCACTATGTAGACCAGGTTGGCCTCAAACTCACAGCCATTCCCCTGCCTCTGCCTCCCGAGCGCTGGGATTCAAGGTGTGTGCCACCATACCCGGCTAATAAAATTTTTATATTCCAGGAGAGCAAATTCATGCTGTTTTTCCATACACGTCTGGCACGTGGTAGGTACTCAGACGTTTGCTGAACAGCTTCCTGGCTACACTGTCTAACTACACAGGCCACCGCACACTGGAGCAGGAAGCACTACTCTAGGTGCCAACTCACCAGCCTACCCAATGTTCTACCCTGTTCTCAAGTGTACTAAAGGTGGCAAGAATCCAACAACCTTGGCCCACTGAGGGGCCACGTGGGATTCTGACCTCCTAAGAAAACGGCCCAGCACCACTCGCCTCTCTTGTGGCAGGTAAGCCACATATAAAAATCTGAGGATAAAAACAACGTCCCCTTCCTGAGCAGGACATTGCTTATGAGAACAATTCCAACCATTATCTTTATAAAGGCTGAAGTGCTTCTAGAAGGAACTAGTTCTTGGGGCCAGTTAAGGAGATTAAGGAAGCAGTGCTAGTCCCATGGAAATTTAATAGAAAACAGCAAGAAATTTAAATGTTATGTCTCTCTAACTCCCTTTGATCAGTCAACAGCTGATCGGATCAATAGCGAAAATGAGGTATTACTTGGAACAAACAGCTATCTAGAGAACACTGATCAGGAATGCCAAGTCCCAGGTACTTTCAAGGAATTTTCTCCCTATTCCAGACATTCTGAAATAGGAAAATAATTATTTTCAAACGACAACAAAGTAAACTTAATAAAAGCAACACAGAAGAGAACTCTTAATTATCTTGCTAATTTGTGTGTGCTAGCTAGTCAGCAAGTCCCCCAGGATCTTCTGTCTGGGCCTCCCCAGTGCTGAGGTTACAGGCACACATCACAGCACCCACCTTTTACATGGGTGCTGGAGATTTGAACTTTACCAACTGAGTCATCTCAGTCCACAAAATACTTTTTAAGAATATGGTTCTTGGGGGATGGTGTGAGGGCTCAGAGGTTAAGAGCTCTGGCTGCTCCTCAGAGGACTCAGGTTCTAATCCCAGCACCCACATGGCGGTTAATAACCATCCAGAACTCCAGTTCCAGGGGATCTGATGCCCTCTTCTGACCTCCACAGGCATTGCACAATACAGGTACACTTATATACATGCAGGTAATACACTCATACACATAAAACAAAAATAATTTTTCTAAAAGATTATGGTTCTCTTTGTGGTTCTGCTTGTGATAAGCTAACCCCAAACCCATCACAATGCTCCAATAACATACAGCAGGAAAGGAGGCAACTTTTACTATTTCTTACTAATTTTGAGATTAGCATGCTGAGTTTTGGTTTGCTGAAAAATATTAAGAAGTCCTTTGTTATTATTTATTTGGAGGAAATATTAATTGTGCAGCTTTAAAAAAAGACAAGAAAAACTTAAAAGAATCAGCTGATGCCAAAGAGGTTCGAATCAGTTAAATTTAATTCTGCATTCTCCCCAGGGCCAGGCTGTGAGGTCACAGTGCAACACCTTGGGTGCAGGAAGGGACACCACACAGCTTCTAAAGTAATATAATCTATCAGCCAACCAGAAGACAGGGAGCCCCCCCTCCCCAGCCCTGGACACCCCCTTCCACGAGTGCACCACCCTCTGGAGCACACTGTGAAATTCTCATTATCTGAGGTAACAGTCCAGTGTCATAAAAACGCCTGGCAGAGTGAATGCTAAAATCCCCTGTGAGACATCTGACCTCTCTCTCCACTGATGTCATTTCCATCTGCAAAATAACAGTGCGCAGATGGTTCCTACGTAGGAGTTCCTATGAAGGGGCTTTACAGTGTTTCCCCGTACCTGAAGGCAGCATGCTGCAGAGAACTACAAAATAGAAAAGTTGTAAGGAATCAAAGAAACAAACCTGCACTGAGAAAAAGGCAGGTCAGCTCAGCTCTCAGAAGAGCAAACATGACTCTATCCCACATCACAGCTTCCCAATGACCAGGGGGGGTCATTTTTCAAGCACCCATTTCCCTTTCTCCCTCTTCCTCGTCTCAAAGGACCCATGTTGGGCAGTTCTAAGGAAGTCACATTTCGCACTAGGGACACCAAAATATGCCAATAATCTTTCAGGGTTTCACCCGCTCCTCCCTCACAGCATACCAGCCCACTTCACTTGCCACAAAGAATTTCTGCCACCCACAGTGCAGCTCTGCCACAGTCCTAAGCACTTTGTTCTAGCCAAGTCCCTCCCCAGCAGGGGGTCTCGGAGTTCAGGGACCGGGTGGGGTCCCTGCCACTGACCTGTGCCGGTTTTTATTCTTCCGTTTTTTGTGGCTGCTGTGGTGACTCCCTGAGGAGGTAGAAGAGGCAGCCTTCTGGGGCTTCACTCCCTGCACAGAGCCGTCCAGGTCCTCTGGGTCCTCAGGGGCAGGCTCGTTCTCCTGATTGTGGAAATCTGGAGAAGCATCACTTTCTGTCCCGCTCCCTGGCTCCCCTAGAGGGAAGAACACACAAGTCTCCAGGTCCTCATCAGTCAGTGGCACAGACTCACATACACAGACACACAGACACAGAGAGACAGAAACAGAGACAGAGAGAGAGACAGAGAAAGAGAGAAGACAGAAGCAGACAGGAAGATACATTCAAAGTATCAAAGCTAGCACACAATAGCCCAGTTCCTGAAAAAACACATACACACACAGTCTGTAACAGTGTAACCAGATACAGCAACACTGGGACTGCCAGAGGACACACCCACCCCTTCTGTCCCCCACTGTATAAAAGCTACTTCCTCGTTTTTTGTTTTGCTGAGACAGGGTCTCCCTGTAGCCCCAGCTATGTAGACCATCCCAGGCTGGCCTTGAGCTCACAGAGATCTGCCTGCCTTGGTCTCCCCAGTGCTGATAAAGACCACTTTAACAGAGTATGCTAATGGGAATAAGAATTACACCCAGAGGATGAGGATGGCCTTGACAAAACTGCCAGAGCTAACCCGAGTTCCTTCCCAAACCACAGAATTGTAGTTTTCTAAAAAGAATGGGTGAGGGACATCAGGCAGCTCACAACTGCCTGGGGATCCTATGCCCTCCTCTGGCCTCTATAGGCACCAGCACACATGATATATATTCACACATACACATACAGCATAAACTTTTTAAAATTTAAAATATTTTGAGAAGTTTTTGAATATTTTTTTGAGACAGGGTCCTATGCTCAGGTGAACTATGTAGTTAAAGATGACCTTGAACTTCTGATCCTCCTGCCTCCACCTGCTGAGTGCTGACATTACAGGCATGTGCCACCAACCCGTCTTTTGCTGAAAAAAAAAAAAAAATTTTTGTTTTTCGGTCTTTTTGAGACAGGGTCTCCCTGTAGCCCCAGCTGTCCTGGAACTCACTATGTAGACCAGGCTGTCCTTGAACTCACAGAGATCTGCCTGCCTCTGCCTCCCAAGTGCTAGAATTAAAGGCGTGTGCCACCACACCGGCAAAAAATTTATTTTATTTTAGTCTTTTTGAGACAGGGTCTCCTTGTAGCCCCAGCTGGCCTGGAACCCATTATGTAGAGCTGACTGGACTTGAACTCACAGAGATCTGCCTGCCTCTGCCTCCTGAGTGCTGGGCCTAAAGGTATGCGCCACCATGCCCGGCTGCTGAAAAAATTTTTAAAGATTTTTTTTTTTAATTTATGTGTGTGCACATGTGCGTCTCTGTGTACATATATGTCTATGTAAGTGTACGTGAACAAGTGTTTGTGTAGAGGGGTACCCTTGGAGGTCAGAAGAGGGTGTCAGATCCCTTGGAGCTAGAGTTACAGGTATTTATGAACCGCCTGATGTGGGCGCTGGGATCAGAACTCCAGTCCACCAATTTGAGCAGCTAGCACTCAACCACTGAACCAGCTCTTCAACCCCAATTTCTTTTTCCTTTTGGGAATGCTGAGGACTGATCCCAGGGCCTCAGGCATGTGATGTAAATGACTTACCACTAAGCTATACATTTATCAAAAACCCAAGAATGCTTAAACAAAGCAGTAATAATGCTCTTCAACTGACATAAATCCCCAATTTTAATATACTACTTAAAGTGCCAGGTAAGGTGGAACATGGCTATAATCCAGCACTTGGGAAGTGAGGCAAGAAGATCTCAAGTTCAAGGTCAGCCTGGGCTACATAAAAAGATCCTGTGTCAAAACAACAACAAAAATCACGATGGAGAGATGGCTCAGAAGATCACTAGATGCTCTTGAAGATGACCTGGGTTTAGTTCCCAGAACCCACATGGCAGTTAAAAAACATCCATAACTCTGGTTTCAGGGAATCTGACCCTCTCTTCTCACCTTTGCAGGCACTGTACACATGTGGAGAATCCCTAGAGGCTCACAGGCCACTTGGCCTGGCCTTCGCAGCTCAGTGGAAACAAGTCCAGGTCTGTCTCAAATAAGATAGAAGGTAAGGACCAAATCCCAAAGATGTCCTCTGAGTTCTACAAGCATGCCATGGCACATGTATGCCCAACCCCCCTATACTGCCCCCACATAATAAATATAATCCTCCCACCCCCTAGAAAGCATAAGAAACAGCCAGATCTCAGAAATCATGAAACAAATTTGAAGACATTTCAGGAAAGCAACAGGAGAAAGAGCTCCAGTACTATGAGGCTGGAAACTATCCTAACACTCTGACAGTTTGAGAAAAAAAACCACTTCACTTAAAACCACCGAAAGAGCTGGGTGGAGTGCACACACCTGTAATCCTAGCACTCGGGAGGCTGCCAAAGGAAGATGGCCATGAGTTCAAGGCCAACATGATCTACAAAACAAGACCCTGTCTCAAAACAAACAACAATAACAACAAAAAAATAATCGTACAACTTCTCAGTTTTACAGTAATCAATACTATGGTGCTCACAGCATAAGCATAAACATATAGATTGAGGCAATAGAATTCAGTCCAATATAAAACCTTATGTCTGCTGGGCATGATAGTGCACACCTTTAATCCTAGCACTCAGGAAGCAGAGAGGCAAATGGATCTCTATGAGATCAAGGCCAGCCTGGTCTATACAGGAAGACCCTGTCTCAAAAACAAACCAAAACAATGGGGCTGAAGAGATGACTCAGTAGTTAAGAGAACTGACTTTTCTTCCAGAGGACCCAGGTTCGAATCCTAGCACCCACATGGTGACTAACAACCACCTGTAATTCCAGTTCCAGGGCATCTGACATTCTCTTCTGACCTCCACGGATGCAACTGCCTACATGCAAGCAATACACTCATACACATAAAATAAAATATTAAAAACAAAACAACTTATGTTTAAGGTCAACTGATTTCTGACAAAGTTAACAAAACAATTCAATGCAGAAAGAAGTTCTTTTTGTTCAAGGCCTGCCTGAGCAACACAGCAAGAGTCCATCTCAAAAAAGTAAAATTATGGTTTGGTCATGGGGCACACCCCTTCAATCCCAGCATTTATGAGACAGAGGCACATGAATTTCTATGAGATCAAGGCCATCCTAGTCTAGAGACAGAGGCCAGCCTGGTTTACATAGTGAGTTCAAGGTCATCAGCCAGGTCTACACAGTGAGACCCTGTCTCACATACATATATTCTCATATTCATTCTCTCTCTCTCTCTCTCTCTCTTTCTCTCTCTCTCTCTCTCTCTCTCTCTCTCTCTCTCTCTCTCTCTCTCTCTCTCTCTCCCTCTCTCTCTCTCTCTCAAAGATATAATAATGGCCAATAAACAGCCCAGAAAGATATGTTAAAATAGCACCAACTGGGGTAGAGAGAGGGCTCGAGAGCACTGGCTGCTCTTCCAGGGGACCTGGGTTTGGTTCCCAGCACCCACGTGGCAGCTAAAAACCACCCTTAACTACAGTTCCAAGGGATCTGACACTCTCTTCTGACCTCCACAGGCATTGCACACACATGGTGCACATGGTGCAAGCAAGACACTCACACACATAAATAAAAAATAGAAAATAGCGGGGCTGGAGAGATGGCTCAGAAGTTAAGAGCACTGGTTGCTCTTGCAGAGGACCAGGGTTCAATTTCCAGCACCCACATGGTGGCTAACAACCATCTGAAACTCTAGTTCCAGGGAATCCGATGCCCTCTTCTGACCTCTGTGGCATTACATGACATGGGTGGGTGTACTTACATACATGCAGGCAATACACTCATACACATAAAATAACAATTTTACCTGACTTACACTACAAGCACATATTACTTTTCTAGTTTAAAAAAAAAAATCTAAGCCAGATGTGGTTGACACACACCTTTAATCCCAGCACCGAGGCAGAGGTAGGTAGATAGATCTCTGTGAGTTCAAGGTCAGCCAAGGCTACATAGTGAGAGCCTGTCTCAAAAAAAATCAAAAAACAAAACAAACAAACAAAAACTAAGGAGGGGCTTGAGAGATGATTCAGCGGTCAGGAGCACTGGCTGCTCTAGTGGAGGACCTGGGTTTAGTTCACAGCAGTCACATCAAGTGGCTCACAGTCACGGGTAGCTCCAATTCCAAAGTATCTAACATCCATTTCTGGCCTCCGTGGGCACTGCACGTATGTAGTGTACTTACATACATACAGGCAAAAAACTCATACACATAAACAATTTTTTTTTAAACAAAAAGAAACCCAAATACTAATAATGAATTTATCTAGAAAGAAATCAAGCTGGTATGGATCTCTGTGAGATCAAGGCCAGCCTGGTCTACATAGTGAGTTCCAGGCCAACTAAGGCTACAGGGAGACCAAAATAAAAAATAAAAAAAGAATTAAATCAAAGGGAAAATCCATTATAATAGCTTCAAAAATAAAACAGAATGCTTAAGAATAAACCTATATCCAAGAAGGTAAAAGTTAAAAGATATGAAAAAAGAAATTAATGAATGGGCAGAATTCATATTGTAGCAATCTGCAGATTCAATGCAATCCTCATCAAAATCCCTGAAGTTCTTCATAGAACTAGAAAAAAACAATCCTAAAGTTCATATGGAAACACAAGAGACCACAAATAGCTAAAGCAATCTTTTTTTGTTTTGTTTTGTCTTTTTGAGACAGGGTCTCCCTGTAGCCCCAGCAGTCCTGAAACTCACTATGTAGACCAGGGTGGCCTTGAACTCACAGAGATCCACCTGCCTCTGACTCCCGAGTGCTGGGATTAAAGGTGTGTGCCACCACGCCTGGCAGTTAAAGCAATCTTTAGCAGAAAGAGCAATGCTGGAAGTACCAAAATACCTGATCAAATTATATTAGAGAGTCATGGTAAAAACAGCCTGGTACTACAGAGAAACCAACATGTAGACCAATGGACCAGAACAGAGGACCTGGAAAAAATCCAGTTACAGCCACCTAATTTTTGACAAAGCTGTCAAAAACAAAAACAGGAGAAGAGACAGCCTTGTTAGCACATACTGCTGGGGGAACATTTCCTCGAGCAGAAGAATGAAGACAGATTCTTACCTCTCACCCTGCATAGAAATCAATTCAGCATAGATCAAAGACCTTCATTCAAGACATGAAACTTAGAAAGCTAGAGGAAAATATAGAGAAAACACTTTAAGACATAGGCACAGGTGAGGACTTTCTGAACAGGACTTCAATAGCACAGGAGATAATCCCAAGAATTTTTAAATGAGTTTGTATGAAATTTAGAAGCTTCTGCACTACAAAGGAAAGCACCAGAGTGAATGGACAGCCTACAGAACGGGAGAAAATCATTGTCATGTATGCATCAGACAAAAGATTACTATCCAGAATACATATAAAAAAACTGGGGCTAAAGGAAATGACTCAGTGGCTAAGAGCACTTGCTGTGCAGTCATGAGGACCAGAGTTCAGATCCCAGCAACACAAAACAAGTCAGGTGTCTTGCCCATGCCAGGAACCCAGCTCTGAGAAAGGTGGCGTAGGAGGCTCACTGGGGTTTGCTGGTTTCCAGCCTAGCAGAGAAAATACAAGCTCCAGGCTCAGGGAGTGATCCTGCCTCAAAGGAATAGGCAGTGCTAGAGGAGTACAGCTAAACTTAAAATGATGTGTGTGTGTGTGTGTGTGTGTGTTTATATGTGTATCTGTAGGTCAAGAAACTAGAAAAGGGATCATGAGGGGAAGAAGAAATCTTAAGGAAATAAGAGACAGTAACAGAAAACATGTAGACAAAAGAAGCAGGTTCCACCTACGGAAACAAAGGGAATCAGCTGGAGAGAGGGTACAGGAGAGGGCAGCCGGGAAGGGAACCAATGAGACAGGGAGGGGCAAGGCCTTATGAGCCTCATCTCTAAGAGTTATGAAAGTGGAGGTGAGCTGT